AGCCCAGGCTTTTGGGTGCTCAGGGGAATCTGGTGGCCAGAATCAGTAACAATCTAGATTTTAGCTCTTTGAACTTGAAGACTAGCCATATTTATTGCTCATCTGTGCAACACAGAATTTTGATGCATAGTAGGCTCTCAATGTATTTACTGAATGAGTGAACAAACAAAGGTATGCAGGAATAAGCATTGACTTGGCTTAAATTAGTTCCAAAAGACTAATTAGGGGTCATGGACAAAGGAAACTTTATTAGTTATTCAGGCCTATGGGATAGAATTACCAAATATTATAAAATACAGAGCTATGCAACATGTGGGACATGCATACTAAAAACTACCTATTGCTTATCTCAAGCTCAAATGTAACTGGACATTTTGTAATTTTATTTGCTAAATCTGGCAATCCACCATGAGGAGAAGTCATTGATAAACATATGATCAGAACACAGGCTCCCCCAATCAGGCTATCCTTTTTTTAATTAGATTTTAACTTAACTGCACTAAGACAATTTTTCTGACATACGACCTTGTGCAGTTATTTCCTGAAGTGTGCAAATGTGCACACACATGGTAGACATGCATACATACCACAGCAGTGCCCACATGGTATACATTTGGATGACCTTTACAAGGCAAAACAGGGCTGAAGAATGGGTGGCATGAAAAAGTCACAGACTTCCACATTGGGCTGAGCAAGCAACTGAGGTCAGAGAGACAGAAATAGAATATAGAGTCCCAAATATTTCTAAGATTTTTAAAAAACTTAAATTTATCTACAATAAAATTGCCTTTTTTGTGTGTAGACAGTTCTTTGAGCTCTAACATATGTGCAGCTTCGCCTAACCACCACCACAGTAAGGACATAGATAGTTCTAGCACTCCAGATACTCAAACAGCTACTCTCTTCCCTTCAAACCTTCCCCACCCCCATCCCTGACAAACACTGATCTGTGATCTCTACCTATAGTTGTGGCTTCTCCAGTATGTCATATAAATACAATTATCCATTATGTGCACTTTTGAGATTGGTTTCTTTGCCCCAGCAAAATGCTTTTGAGATTCATCCACATTGTTACACATATTCATAGATTTGTCCTCTTTATGCTTAATAGCATGCCATTACAAGATGTGCCACAGTTTCTTTTTTAAACATGTTTTAGAGATTTTATTTATTTATTTTTAGAGAGAAGGGAATGGAGATAGAATGACAGGGAGAGAAACATCAATGTGTGGTTGCCTCTCATGTGCCCCCTACTGCGGACATGGCCTGCAACCGAGGCCCTGTGCTCTGACTGAGAATCGAAACAGGGACCCTTTGGTTAGCAGGCCAGTGCTCAATCCACTGAGACACATCAACCAAGGAAAGATGTGCCACAATCTCTTTATCCATCTACCCACTAAAAGATCTCTGGATTTTTTTTCCTGCTTTTGCAATTATGAATAGAGCAGCTATAAGCATACATGAACAAGTTTTTGTGTGAACATAAGTTTTTGTTTTTCTAGGGTAAATACCTGGTTGGGGAAATGCTGGGTCATACGTACTGATTAATTTTATAAGAAATTGCCACAGTTTTTCAGAGTAAATGCATTGTTTCAAATTCTCACCAACAATATATGAGTACTCTTAGTTGTTTCACATCCTTGCCAAATCTTTGTATTATTGGTCTTTATGTTTTGTTGGTTTTTTTTTTAATTTTAGAAATTCTAATAACTGTAGTGGTATCTGATTGTGATTTTAATTAGCATTTTCCTGGTGACTAATAATGCAGAGCAACTCTCTGTGGGCTCATCTGCCAACTATATAACTTCTATAGTAAAATGTTTTATTAAATCTTTTGGGCATTTTTTAATTGCATTGTTTGCTTTCTTACTATTGACCTTGAGTTCTTTATAGATTCTGGATACTAGTACTTTGTTGAGTATGTGATTTGCAAATATTTTCTTCTAGCCTGTACCTTGTCTTTCATTCTCAACAGTTGTTTTTACGGGGCAAAAATTTTAAATTTTGTTGAAGCCCAATTTGTAAGTATTTTCTTTAAGGATTGTATTTTTGTCTAATTCAAAGTCATGAAGATTTTCTCCTGTTTTCTTTGAAAAGTTTAATGGTTTCATATTTTATATTCATATCTATCATTAATTTTGAGTTAATCTGAGGTAATTTCACTAAGTTAAGATTCAGTTTTGTTTGCATATGGGCAACCAACTGTTGCAACATCATTTCTTGAAACTTTACTGTTTTTCCATTGAACATTCTCTAACTTTTTTCAAAAACTAATGGACTATATTGACCATAGTTATGTGGATCTGTTTCTGGATTCTACTTTCTGTTTCACTGATCTAGGTATTTGTCCCTTTGCCAATATCACATATTGTAATTATTACATGATAAGTTTTAAAATTGGGAAGCATGAATCCTCCAATTTTATTTTTATTTTTAAATTTTTTTGTATTTATAGTTTCTTTTCCTTTCAACATAAATTTTGGAATCTGTTTATTCATATACATGCATAATCCTGTTGGAATTTTTATTGGAATTACATTGATCTTTAGACCAATTTGGGAAGAGCTGACATCTTAACCATACTGAGTCTTCCAACTCATGGTCATGGTATGTTTCTACATTTAATTAGATTTTTACTTTCTTTCATCAATATTTTGTAATTTTTACCCTAGTAATCCTGAATATTTTTGTTACTTATGTGAAATACACAAGTGTTTTAATTTCTAAAACATTATTTTTCAAATTTCAGCATTTAGTTCTTTATTACTAGTATATAAAAATTCAGTGGGGGTTTGTGTGTTAACATTGTATCCTGCAACCTTGCTAAACTCATTAAGTAGTTCCAAGAGTATTTATTTAAATTCTGTAGGATTCTCTATGTGGACAAATCAGGTCATCTGTGAGTAGGGACAGTTTTATTTCAATTTTTCCTATCTGTATGTCTTCTATTTTTCTTGCATTATTGCACTGGCTACAATTTCCATTATAATATTGAAAGGTATAGTAAGAGTTTACCTTCTTGCTCAGTTCTTGAACTTAGGGGGGAAAACATTTATTCTGTTACCAAGCATGATTTGGTTGTGGGGTGTGTGTGTGTGTGTGTGTGTGTGTGTGTGTGTATGAAAGAGAAAGAGGAGGAGGAGAGAGAGAGAGAATCCTTTATCAGGTTAAGAAAAAGCCTTTATATTACTGGCTTGCTGAGAGTTTTTGTTGTGAATCAATGTTAAATTTTGTCACATTTTTTCAGCATCAGTTGATATGATTATGTACTTTTTTCTTTTAAACCTAATATGCTATATTACATTGATCACTGAATAATGAATCAATTTGCATTCCTACTTGGTTGTTGTGTATTTTTTTTTACATATTTCTGGATTCAATTTACCATTTTGTTGAAGTATTTTGTGTCTATATTCATTGGGAATATTGACCTATAGTCTTCTTTCTTTACATTGTCTATTTGTGATTTTAGTATCAGGGTAAGCTGGCCTCAGAAAATAAGTTAAGAATTGCCCCTTCTTCTATTTTCTGGAAAAGATCATGTAAAATTGTTATTGTCATCTTTAAATGTTTGGCAAAATTTTCCATTAAAACCAATTGGTGCTAGAGTTTTGGGGGAAAGCTTCTCAACTATAAATTCAGCCTCTTCAAAATATATAGGTCTTTATGGGCTATTTGTTCATGAGTGAGATTTTAGTTTGTGAGAGCCTTATAGTTAAATAATCTTCACTCCCTTGAAGCCCTATAAGAGGGGGGTTTCCACAACTGAGTAAACTGAAGCACTGGAACCTAAAAAAGTTGTTTGTGGCAGAGCTGGACTTCTAAGCCAGCATCTAAAGCCAGAATCCACCCCTCACTCTGTGCATTCTACTTCTCCATATGGTAACAGTCATAACCATCAGAATACCTTTCAGTGCACAGGTGTCTAGAGTTGAATTTCACTGTGAAGAATGGGAACAGAGGCAGTGCAGGGGGCAGGAGGTAAAAAGGGCAGCATTCTCTTTTAAGTTCTGCCAGGCACTAAGTTCAGACCTGGCCCCTCCATGCTAACAGGCATGGTGTAGGCAGATCCTCTTACTTGTGGGCTGAGCAAAAGACTTTTATGAGCTTCTCCCATTGCATGACAGTTAGAGTAGCCACAGCTTGACTAGTTCCTCTGGGTCCTGAAGGTGAAGAAAGATATAAGTACAGAAACTGCAGGGCACTTAAGTCATTCTTAACTCTCACCCTATTCCTTCATATCCACACTATGGTAGTTCTGAGAACTCAGCAGTTCCACACTAGGAATATTGAGATAACTCTAAGGAAAGACAAGATTTATGTGAGGATCTGTTAAATGGCAGATACCCAAGAAAACACACAAACACACATACATGTACCCTGGGCAAAGAGAGGAGGGATATTTGAAAAGTTCAGGACAATGGAGAGATTCACAATAAGACAGGAATGGCACAGCCAGATGGGCACTGAACATCCTTCAGGCCAAACCTGCACCTCTCACTTTACATCTGGAAACATTGAGAAGAGAGCATTCAATTTGCTGAAGGTCTTTGTCTAGGTTACTTCTGCTGATGCCCTATTTTCTCCACTCTCCTCTTTCTTTTCTTTTTTAAAAAGATTTTATTTATGTATTGTTAGAGAAAGGGAAAAGTGGGGAGAAAGAAAGAAAATCATCAATGTGTGGTTGCCTCTTGAGTGTCCCCCAACAGGGACCTGACCCACAACCCAGGCATGTGCCTTGACTGGGAATTGACCCTTCAGTTCACAGGCTGGCATTCAATCCACTGAGTCACACCAGCCAGGGCTCTTATTTTAAATTATTAGAGAGAAAAGCATTATGATTTCAGGAGAATCCAGTACCCTCATGTCATCACCTAACTTGATATTTTTTTCCTCTTATTAGAGTATATCTTCTAGTAGTTTCATGTGATTTTTTTCCTCAAACTGATCACCAACCAACCAGAACAACATATTTCATACATACTTCTTTATTAAAGAACATGGCCAAAGGTGGAAAAGGCCCTAAGGGCAAGAAGATAACCCTCAATGTGGCTAAGAATTGTATCAAAATCACATTTGATGGGAGAAAGCGCCTCGACTTGAGCAAGATGGGAATTACGAACTTCCCTAAGTGTATTCTGAGACTCAATGATATAGATGAGCTTGATCTTAGCCGGAATATGATCAAGAAGATCCCTGATTCAATCTCCAAGTTCCAGAACCTACGGTGGCTGGACCTGCACAGCAACTACATTGACAAGCTCCCTGAGTCCATTGGCCAGATGACTACTCTGCTCTACCTCAATGTCAGCAACAACAGGCTGACTACTAACGGGCTGCCTGTGGAACTTAACCAGCTCAAGAACATCCGCACTGTGAATTTAGGCTTGAACCACCTGGACAGTGTGCCCACCACGCTGGGTGCTCTGAAGGAGCTCCATGAGGTAGGACTCCATGACAACCTGCTCAACAACATCCCCAACAGCATCTCCAAGCTGCCCAAGCTCAAAAAGCTCAACACAAAGCGAAACCCCTTCCCCATGGCAGAGGAGGCTGATGCATTCATAGACTCCATCAAGAGGCTGGAAAACTTATACCTGGTCGAGGCCAAGGATCTGTGTGGGCCTTGCCTGAGAAAATGCCAGCAGGCCCGAGACAAGCTGAACAGAATAAAAAGCATGGCTGTGACAACACCAAGAAAGGCCATCTTCAGCAATTTGGTCTCACCCAACTCCATGGCCAAGGAGTCTCAAGAAGATTGGAGGTGACCTTGGACCCTGACCCTGAGGCAGAAAGGGAAAACAGAGGGAGGGTAGATGACAATGGGCTGCATCCACAGAAAATTGAGAGATTGACTTATTACTGCAATAGTTCTTCCAGTCAAGCCCATAAAATACCTTTCCCTACCATGCTGGTTTGTGATTTTGTTGATTGAAAGGCTTTTAGTTCTTTGTCATTGTCTTCTCCACCCATTCACACCCACACATGAGAAAAGAAAGAGCTTTCCATCTCACTTATGTTCCATAACTCTCCTGCCTGCAGACCCATGGTCTGAGCAGTTAATGTTGTTAGCACACTCTTGGTCTCATTATCATACATTTCAGGACTAACCACCAGCTTCCAAAAGTGGAGCTTGTTCTATGGATCTGTTTGGGGTCAGAGCTTCAAATGCCAGGGATCTCAGAGCATGGGTGCTAGAAGCAGATGGGCATTTAGCCTTGGATGGGAACAAAACTAGGACACAGAGATGGGCAGTTATTACCATTAAGTATTGGCAGATAACATATTGGGCTCAAAGCAGTGCCATCTTCTCTTATCTGTGTTTGCATAATTTGCTCTAGGTGATTTCTATAGACTAAACCTCATGCCCTTAACTATGAATGAAAGAGGTTTCAGTCCCATCTTATTCTGTCCAGTTCTTTTCCAGACTCTTGTAGGAGCAGGGAAAGAAAGGCTACAGGAATGAGTTGGTACAGTCAATAAATAAATGACCTTACTAGGCACTGTGCTTGGTGCAGGGACTGTGTCCAATGGGGAAAAGCTTGGCTTATCCTGTGCGGCCTGTAGGGAAGACCCACTGAAAACAGATAGACAGAATGCCATTATCTGAGGAAATTAGGAGATCAGGACCATGTAGTGCACAGGGCTGGCTTGGCAGAGAGAAAGTCAAAGACTCAGTAGTTGGCCAGATGTAGGTTCAGGAATACTGTTCTTGCTATTTTCTTGGGCATCTCACTTAGATTTGGTTCCCTCATCTGTAAGGTGGGAATAATTCAACCTCAAATCCAAGGGTCATTGTGCGTCTAAAGCAAACACCATAGAGTGTAAGTACTCAATAGAAGTAAATTCTCTCCAAGAACTGGAACTTTGTCTGAAGTACTACTTTGGACATTGTCTCTCTTTATACCAGATCTTTAGACAGAAAAGATGGGTAGAGTCAGTCCTCACAATAGCAGAGAACTTTCACTGTACCACTCACTCACACCTCCATACTGCATAAAAAATCAAGAAAAATATCTTTAGGAAAGATACTTTTTAAAAAAATTAATGAAGAATTTTCTGTGTTGGCAACCAGTTCTATCAAATGAAAGCACTGAGAAACCTGCTGGGTTTGGTGGAAATAGCTTATTTCTTTTTTCACATTATAAACCACAGCAGACTGCATACTTCATTTATTTATTTCTCATTGCTTATTCTCCTTTATAATGCTTAGCCATTGTCTTTCTAAGATATAGATTAAAAATTTCCTTTTCAGCATTCCCTTTATTAAATGTTTTCCATTATGAAAGTGACAAAACCACACCATAATTTTAAACATAACAGCTTTAACATAGACACAATTCTATGGTGTAAGCCAGATATAATATTGACAGAGTTCCTTACTAGTTATTTTTCTGTGTGTATTTTTATGTAGTTAAAATTACATCATTCACCTCATTTTCATCTTTCTTTGAAACCTGTGTTGTTACATGGTCTTAATAACCATAATTTCAAACATCTGCAAGATAAACATAGATATACATAACTATGTTACTATTGAGCATTTAATTTGTTTCCAGTTTTTCACTAATAGAAACAGTTTTGTGATGAAAGCCTGAATGATTAAGATTTTTGAAATATGTTGCATTATTTCCTTGGTATAGCTCCAATATTACAAATATTGTGTTGAAGGGTGTGTTTTTTAAAAAATGTTTGATACATGCTATCAATTACCTTATAAAAAGTTTATGCATATTCATATATCTACTAGTAATATTTTAGAGAATCCATTTTACTGTGTCCTTGCCAGCATTAAATAGCATCCTTTATACTTTTCCCTTTGTTTAATGTTGGATAAAATTAAAAGCCCTTCTGAAGATTAATGGAGCAGTTGTGTCCATGATATATATAGTGAGATGTCATGCTAGGAGCCACTGCTAGTATGTTGGGCCTTGAGCATGTCCTTAAGGTAGACTTCCTGCTATGTTAGCTACTTCACCTCTGGGCCAAGAAGTATAGAATCTCCTTAGAATTGGTGTTCCCTTCTTATTTATTCAAAAGGATCAGCAAAGAACCAGGGATTAAGTAAAAAGATTTCCCTTCGCCCCTAGGAAGGATCTTGGCCTGCACCGTGGATTTGCCCCTCTACTTGCTCTCTGCCCCATTGCAGCACAGCTCTTTCACTTCACTGGTCCTCAAAATCCTTCTCCAAGGTACCACTCTGGATTTGCTGCCAACTGAATGGTTGGCATGCAAGATGACATTTATCTGCCAGCTTTGATATAGGTGCTTTTTTATGCTGTCTTTCTCACAGCCATATTTTAAGAAGAGTATTTTTTTAATCTCCACCCAAGGGCATGTTTATAGATTTTAAAGAGAGAAGAAAGGTGAGAGAAAGAGATAGAAAGAAATATCAATGTAAGAAACATTAACTGGTTGTCTCCCACATATGTCCCAACCAGGGATTGAACCCACAAACCTGGTTATGTTCCCTGACTGGGAATCGAATCCACATTGGGTGTATGAGATGACGCTCCTACCTGGCCAAGCCACCCAGCCAGGGAAGGAAGAGGTTTTAAGTGTATTTAATTTCAGCAGTATTGAGATATCAATGGACAGAGGGTTTTGGTTTTCCATCAGCCCTTAGATACCTTAGGTAACATTAGATACCTTGTTAACCAGGAAATCCTGGCTGTTAAGGATGAAGCAAAGAATAGAGATAGAAATAATTTAGGAATCATTTTCTACATTTTGTTTCTTTTTCTGTCAAAGAAAATGTTTGGTGTTGATGTTTATTCATGCTCTAAAATACCACTTTAATCTTTAGTTCCTGGAAATTGTAGTAAGCCTAAAAACACTTGATAGGAAAACCATGGGGTTTCTCTTTCTTCAAACAGAATGAAAGCTTATTCCACTAACCCACTCATCACCCTCTCTGAAAGCCAAGTGTAACCTAGGTGGCCCATGTATGACCTCTGTCCTTGTGTTTTATCTCTGCAATCTGGAGTAATTGCCTCTGCCTCTTGTGTCTCTGTTCCCAGGATAGGCTCAGCATCTCCCTAGAGTAGCTTATGTCAAAAAGTTGAAGACTGATCAGCTAACACAAATAATCAACTCTGAAGAAGAAAAGCTCTCAGAAGGAGAGAGTGAAAGGGAACATTCTGGAAGCCAAGCTTCCTGGTGCTGGCCAAGCCACAGACTTGCTTCTTAAATTCACTATGCCTCTCTTTGCTTTAGATCATCTGTGTGTGGAAATGACTTTGGAAAATATTTTTCATGTATATAAAGAAAATATTAAAGAAAATAATAGATATAAATTATAGACAATTAAAATTTTTAAAGAAGACATTAAGACTTAAAAGACATATGGTCTGTACACTTCACTCAACCTGGTAAAATCTTGACACTAGTTGCCTGTCATGATTTATGTACATATAATGTAATACCCCAATCAACTAAAATGTATACAAAAAATTTATAAAAGAAATATACTAAAATACTATAGGTAAATCAAAGTAGAATTTTAACAAATCTTTCAGTAATGCACAGGCAGGAAGGAAAAAGAAAACACAGGTGAACAACAGGGAAAAGAATAAGAAACAAGAAATAAAACAGCAGACTTCTGCTCTAACATTTTAATAATTACATTAAATGTAAATAGTCTTCTTTATTTGTAATGGCTTCAAACTATAAGCAACCAAATTTCCCTGAATAGACAAGTGGTTAAACACTATGGTGTACCCATACCATAGAATACTCATCAGCAATAAAAAGGAACATAGTATTGACACATTCAAGAACTCAAGATAGATCTCACCGACGTTATGCTGAGTAAAACTGGCCCATCTCCAAAAGTCACATACTCTGTGATGCCATATGGAGAACATTTTCTAAATGACAAAAATTATAGAAATGAAAAACAAATCAGAGGTTGCCAGGCTTTCAGGTTGGTGAGGTGTGGTAGAAAGTGGGCTTGACCACAAAGTGGTAGCACAAGATATAGCCTGCAGCAATAAAAATAATTCTGTGTGTTGGTGGTGGTGGATGTTACACAAAACTACACATATGATAAAATGACAAAAGACTGTGCACTCATATTGTACCAACATCAATTTACCAGTTTTCAAATTGTACTGTAGTTACATAAAGTGCAAGTATTGGCAGAAATTAAATGAAGGCTATGTGGGGACTCTATGTATTATTTTTGCAACTTCCTGTGCATATGTAGTTAATTTAAAACAAAAAAAATTAAAAACAATCTTACAACCCAGATCCAGCAATAAATGGATCTTTGTACATGTGTCAAGTGTTAACTTATGAGTAACCATGGGGAAGACTATCCCCTAAGAACATCCCAAAGAGTTAAGGCATTTTAGGACAAAGAGTACCTTCACCTCAGTTCACCAAACTAATCTAAATTATTCATTGTTCATCATGTCCTTGAAGGTCTCTGAGAAAGATGCTGAAATAAAAGAAAACATCTGGCTTCTCTACCCTTGTCCCAGGCTTTTTGGAAGAGGCTGGGCCCAAAATCAAATGGATGGGTGGGCTTTGAACCAGTGAATTTCCGCCTTCACAGTTCTGGGTTTCTGTACTCCTGTCCCTAACCCCATGGAAGCAGCCCACCAGGTTGTTCAGTTCACTCTGGTTCCATCAATCCTGCCCTGGACCCAGGTCTGAGCTGGGTAGTCTCTATAATCACACTCCCAGGGCTGTGCTGTACCAAGAAGCATATGACCATGTTTCTGTACTCAGTGACAGAGCTGCAGCTCTCTTCACCCGAGTAACT